ATTGTGTATGCACAGAATAACTAACAATGCATGTGTGCAGTAAGTGATTTTTTTAGCAGACTAGCAAATTGCGCATGTACTTAAAAGTATGTGTATACTTCTGTTCACAATGGAGTAACTACGGTCTTGTCTTTAAAGTCTAATTTTTAATTTTTAAGTTCACGACTCTGAACTCTTAGAAGTGGCATTTAGACTTTTTAGGACGTTGGCATATCTGTGTTTGAGATCAAGGTAGAAGTGCTAACAACCCTCTTTACTTAATTACAGTACTGCTGTCTGTGTGACGGTTGCATAATTTGCTTTATATAAATGCAGCTACACCTTGTTTCTTGATTATAGTGTCTACACACCTAGGTCGTCTCTGGTTGAACCGAAGTAGTTAACGTACAAAATATTTCTTTGTGTTTCAGGGTCATCTTCAGCCATGCCTGGGGTCAGTAATTTAGGACAGTCCAGCTCCAGTAGTCCACGGATGTTTCCCTCAGCCCCAGAACATGATTCAGATGGGACCTGGGCACAGTTCTGTTCCTCCGCTCCAGTCGGGCTCCAGCCAGCAGGATCGGGGGGTGACTCAGTATACCAATATGCAAAACATTCAGCGAGGGGGATTGTACAACTTGGCGTCGGGTATGACCCAGATGGTTCCCCAGCATGCAAATCAAAGTGCCAATGGACAGCCACCGATGCAGAGACAGGGCAGCTTGGGCCAGGGTGCTGCTGTTCCTGCTGGCTACGGGCAGAACACCTTAGCGAACTCAAGTATTTCTCAACAGCACAATAAAGGCGCACTGAATCCAACCTTATCTAAGCCACAGATGGCAAGAGTACCGGGTGCTATGGGGGCTCAAAACCCATCTTGGCAACACCAAGGTATCCCTAATATTAATAACCAGACGCAAGGAAACAGTGGCTTAGGACCGTTTACTGCCAGCTCCTCTTTCCACATGCAGCAAACTCATCTAAAGATGGCCAACCAACAGTTTGCTCAAGGAATGCCTCAGGTAAGCCTCAGCACCAGCAGACCAATGACCTCTATGAACGCTGCCGTCTCTGGGCAGATGCTGTCATCATCTTTAGGCTCGCAGCAGCGGACAAACGCACCTACGCAACAGCAGGTACCCTCACAGCAAGTCTTGCCTGGCATGAACCAGACTGTTCCGGATCTGAATGCGTTCAACCAGAATCCAAATCAGCAAATGCCCAACAGAGGTAACATGCACTGTAGTCAAGGGTACCCGGTGAGGACAACCAGTCAGGAACTGCCTTTTGCGTACAGCAGCCAGTCAGGCAATAATGGACTTCAGAACTTAACTGGTGACACAGATCTGATAGACTCTTTGCTGAAAAACAGGACTTCAGAGGAGTGGATGAATGATTTGGATGAGTTGTTGGGAACTCATTAAAAATGGGCTGGGGTGGGGGTTCTACTTTGTTGTTTTTTTTTTTTAATTATTTCATGAAACATAAAACAACACTTGGACCAAAAAACCTGTGGCATTGAGGAGAGTTGCAGGCATTAGAGGTAAATGGTTGGTAAAGGGACTGGAGCTGCTTCTCAATGAGTGTTGATACACGGTGAAGGCGCACCAAGCAGGTCTGCAGGAGCAGTGCGCTTTATCCTGGTGTCTTTAAGGAGTCGCACGTCTGAACAGGTCAAACAAAATTGTGCGTGTCCTAGCCAGCCTTTCAGAAATCTCACTTGCAGTGTTCTAAAAATTAAAATTTTGAATTATTTAAGGATAATGTTCCACAGAAATAGTGCAGAAAGAAAGCAAGTAGTTGCAAAAATTGTTGTTTAGGGCTTAGTTTCCTACAGCTATTACTTGCAATCATTATTGTTCATAGCTTGACGTGCTATTATAGTACTGTCATCAAACGTCTGACTTTTTATTTGAGAAGAGGCTGTATGCACCTGAGTACGCTTGCAAGATGTTTTGAATTGTTTTTTTTTCCATCGCTGAAGCATGTGCCTGTACTCTCAATAAGCAAGTGATATTTCACGGTAAATATTTCTAGATGCTGGTGATAGATGAAAGAAAGTGTTAAAACCTGGCCAGTTAGTCTAGGTAGTCTTCTTAATAGATTGTAGTCTTTTAAGCTGCAGTTTGCACTCTGTTGTAGAGAGGCACAGTTCTTGGCTTATACCTTGCTGTGTTTAAAGGGGGAATTTCTTATGGGAGAACTTTTAAACTATAGTAGTTTTAACATGAATTGTAAAGCCATTTACTTTGCACCTGTTTCTTCATAACTTATTTCCAAAGGTAGTTGTATTTAAATGAAGGCTTTGCTTCATGACAGCTCATCTAGTTTTCTTTGTTGTAAAAAGCAAAACTAACTTTTGAGATCAGTTCATTCCCCAAAGTTAGCAGTGACACAATGAGCACAAGACTTTGTCACTTCAGGGTAAAATGAGGAAAAAAGAATTTGGCTGAGAGGTGAGAAGTCCTTATCAGCAATAATAGCACAGGCAGCCTGGGAGAATACTTGTATCAGGGTTGCTCCGATATCGAAGTCTCCCCCTTTAAATACTTTTTTTAATACTGGGTTATGAGTTTGATAATCCTTCTATAGACAGGTGGGTTTATTCCTTTAATATCCCTTGAAGCAGATGCTGGTTCCTCAGCTCAGCCCAAGGAGACCTCATCCATGGTGGGGTCAGTCTCAGAAAGGACAAACACCACAATGGGAGCAGGAAGTGTTCCAAAGTCCTTACTTTCTACCAAAAAAAAAAAAAAAAAAGAATCCCTTATCCACCAACAAACCACCTTGCCTTAACCTTTACTTTAAAATGAAAATAAAATTGAAAGCTTTTGTTTTAAATGCACAAATACCTCTTCCCTTTCTAAATCCACTTTTTTTTTTCTTTGAGAACTCCTTTAAACTTTCTAACCAAACCCAGCATTGTGTTCTAAAAGCATTTTCCTTCAATGGACCGGCTTCTTGGGTGTTTTCTGCACTGCAGAGATGTGAGAGGGTTTTTTTCCAGAGTGGGTGATGGAGAAGTGAAGGATAACATTGAATTCAAGGAAGGAAAATATTTTTACTGTATCTGCAGCTTCTTTATCAGACAATTTGCACTTTTAAAAACTGCTTTTTAACACTAATACTTTAACCCTTTCCAAATATGCATGGAACATGGTTTGTCCAGCACACTTATCTAGTGTGGATGAATTGCGCTCTGTTAAACAGATTTGATCTCGTGTCATGTTGAACTGTCAGTGAACAATGTGCATTGATCAGTGGATCCCACCGTTGAATAGAGGATAAAACTTCCCTGAAGCAGGCTTAATCCCTGGTAGAACTTTTAACTAAGATTGTCTTTGGATGGGAAGACAAAAGTGGTAGTGACTTTGGTTGTTGACACTTGGGATATTTTCTAGAATAAGTAGTTGAGATGCAAATAACTGATGCTAACTTTTCTTATACTGGCAATCAAAGCAAAGAGCTGGTGAGTTTGGTTTACTGTCAAACCAAACGCTGGTCCAAGGTAAGTGTCGTTAGAGTATCGGTAAATTAGCAATGGCAGGGGAAGAAGTGTTTGCTGTATTTTATTTTTTTTTAAGGGTTAACTTTGCACCAGTGTGCCTTCCCTTCCTGTTGGGGGTGCTTGGGACCTCATAATTTCAAGTGACATCCTTCAGTGTCACTGCTTCCACCCTCTTCTCCCTCTCCCTTCCCCCTTCGGTGACCCCCCCCCCACAAACACTTGAGAGAAATAGCAGGGTAGGAGGATTCAGCTCTTCTTTCTTCCCTGTTTAGAGTGTGGTGAAATCTGCTACATTCTCCAGTAGGTTTTGCACACAGACTTTGTTCTGAATAAGTCAAAATACAATCCATCCAGTTTTAATTTCTTAATCAGAGGAAGAGAACATCTGCTGTTTGCGTTGTTACTACCAAAAAGGCAATCCAGCTTAATGTCCAGGACGATGCAGATGTACTTTTTCCTCCACTGTTTCTGGAAGCTAAGGTGGATATTGCCCCATTTGCCAGAGGGTTTGTTCAGGAAGGCGTCGAGTTTTGTGACAGGGCCTTTTCACGGTACTGTTGAACTAAAATTAAGTGTGATTGTAGGCAAACTGGCTTACAATGCCCATTGGCCTTCGTATGTGAACTGGATCCAAACAGCATTTGACCTGGTAGAAGAAAACAGCCCTTGCTTCTGGTTTTGGTCCCTGTGCACGTAATGCGGTCAGACTGTTAAAAATCTGGTGTCACTGTAACAATACTGAAACAGTTCAATGGAAATGAGAACACGGTTTGGATGAAAGAGGTGCATGGGCAGGGCTGGGCTTTGCCCTTACGCCCTTTAACATGTAGCTGTCTAAATATGCACTTGGGCTTTCCATTTGCTGCAGCTTCAGAGCAATAAAATGTAGCTCCCCTGAACTGTACCTAGCCAGCCGCCCATGGCTTTATTTATAAACTGCGGTTCTGGTTGGGTAGGAAAGGTGAGAGTGTCACTGTGCAACATCCACTGCCTTCCAAAAACCACAATTCAATTGAAAAGGGTGCTCAAAATTTTGTTATACACATTTCCTTTGTGTAAATAAATGTTTACAATTTTATATTAAAGATTTGAATAAGAGTTAGATCTTCTGACTGTATATTTTTTACTTTTTATAGATTTTAAAACTATAATTCTTTATATATGTGTTTGGGGGGTATTATGGTAAGTTTTATGCTTGTAAATGGAGAACAGTTGAATTTGATGCTAACCTTTATGAATTTTTGTCATTGAAATGTATAAAGAGTCCATTAATCCCCTTATTCTTTTACTACAATTACTGGTGCACACCAAAAAAAGAAATCCTTCACTTCTGTTTTATCATTATAAAATAAATATTTTGCTAGTGTATTAAACATACATGGTGTGACTTTATACGTTTGTGTGAGCTGAGCAGCAGGGGGTTCCGTGTTTTCCTAGCGAGATGGGTCCCTTTGTCCCAACACACCACTTTGGTCAGCCTCTTACAGAAGCTCAGATCTTTCTACTCTGTTTAACAATTCTTACAGTTTTAGAAAGTCCATTTTGTCCAGGACTGGATAAAGAGGCCTTAAGAAGGCAGTCTGAAAACAAGGCTTTAAGCTACAATCACAATTTCTGGCCCTTTGTCTTTTTATTTATATATTTTTTAATGCAGCTTTAGGCCTTAAGCTAGAGAATGTGACTGCGGAGGTGGTGGTTATTAGCATTGCTTCACTCTTGTTTCTAAATTTGAAAGTGGGGATGTCAGCTACTCAGATGTGCAAAATCCCAGAGCTCTGAGTGTGCTCAGATTCCCTCAAAATAACGGGCCTTGGAGTTGGTTTCCTTGAGACTTGTGAGAGGTTTGAAGTAGGCAGATTGTGTGTATGCACACACAACCCGAAACAAAACCAAAACAAAAACCACCAAAAACACCCCGAGAAATGAGACACAAACTGCAAGCGTGAGTTAATATTTCTGATCAAGGACCAAAATGCTGGCAGCAAGTTACACAAAGATTTTGGTTTAAAGTTGGCAAGGTCACGAAGCTGATACATGGAGCGGGTGGATTGAAGAGGCTGTGGGAAGTAACAGCGAAATAGGGTTTTCAGACCCTACTAGGTCTGAAGTAGGTTTTTCAGAGCCTCTTAAGTTGGACGTTTACATGTGATGGTTACAGAATCACAGAATTTCTAGGTTGGAAGAGACCTCAAGATCATCAAGTCCAACCTCTAACCTAACACTAACAGTCCCCACTAAACCATATCCCTAAGCTCTCCCTAAGCTAGAAGCAAAGTGAAAATCTGTGGCTCTGTCATCATCCGGAGGAGTCGGCTTTCAGTGGAAGTGCGTTAGGGTGTTGGTGTGTTCTTGTTAACCAGCTATGGCTTGATGAATTACTTGAACATTTCAAAGCAATTCTCTTAAAAGTGAAGCATGCCACTCACAGCAAACACACAAATTACAAAATATACAAATTACAAAAAATACAAATAAAAATTACGTAGTATTTCCTGTTTGTCAAGGGTACCTTTTAACTGCTTATATCTAATCTCAAGTTTTAAACTACCATCTCAAATCTCTCTCCACAACCACAGATGCAGCAATAGTGATAAAGAAGAAATTGAAAAGCGTGACAAGCTTCTTGCTAAGGCTGTGTTCATCTTACAGGGTTACAGTAATTTCAAGCATCCTCCTGTGTAGGAAAAATTTTAGTCAGCTTTAAACATTGAAGGACAATTCTCCAAGCATTGAAGTTGGGTTGGTGTCTCATTGTATGGCCATTGTGTGTAAGGCTCCAGCTCAGAGCATCAGGCGTTTTCACATGGTGCTTTCTGAATTGCTTGAGTGTATTTCCTGTTCTTTTACAGCTTTGGGTTGTGTTTGGGGGAGGAGGAAACGTGTAACTTCAGAAGCTTGTAAAGAAGCAGAAGTGAGAAGGTAAATAATAATAATACCAAGCTGGGCTGCTCCTGGCCCGCGGGGATCTGCTAAGTTGTAGGAACTTCTGATTCATTGTCCCATTAAAAGTACTTCGCTGAATTCAATGTTGAGGAAATCAAATTTCCCAAACTGTCATCCTGTTAAGTGCATGTATGTGTTTTTCCAAAGATTTTACAGAGTCAGCGGCAGCTTCGGGATCAGCCTCTGCTCAGAAACCAATCTTTTTTATTATTGATTTGTTTTTCTTAAGTCTAACGTCAATCCATAATGAAAGTGTTTTCTAAAACCCAAACTGTTTGTTGAAATGATGTAAGTGGAAGTGGGCTTCTATTGACTATTGCTATATTTTACGTGTTTTGCCAGAAGAGTACCAACTGTATATTCGAATAAGCTGACTTGGAAGTTTTCAACTTGATAAGCTGTCGCGGTGGGGTTTTGAGATGAAGATTCAAAGCAGAAGCAAGAACTTGCAGCATCCTGCTCGGGGGAGGTGGCAGGTCTGATCATCTCCTGTTGGTGCTGTGCACGAATTCTGTGCTGAGACTGTGTGAGCCTGTGGCTGTGCAGAGAGAGCAGCTCAGCCCTTTCCTGCAGCCTCTCTCAGTACGAAGTTAAAATTAAGGGAAAACCTTAGCTGATAATGAATTAAACGTTTTTTTTTTTTTTTTTTCCTTTTTGATATTTGAAGCGGTATTTAAAATTTAAAGCTGGTATTTAAAATCAGAGTAGCCTTTTATCTATATTCTGAGTTTTAGAGCACATTTATAACTTTTTGAGCCAATGTGTATTTTGCCATTGTCACCCGGGAAGAGATTATTTAGGGCTATAAAATACTGCTGTTCTTTGAACTTCACATTTCACATTTATAATTCATTGTAATATTTTTGAGTAATTATTTTTATATCCTATTTGGCCACCCTTTCTGAACTGAGAACTTCTATCTTGTATTTTAGCCAGAAAAATATCAGTACTGCAGAATTTTAAAAACACCTGAAAACTACAAAAAAAAAAAGTCAGAAAAGGACTGTACTGTGTAAACTTACATTAATATTTAATAAGCTACACATCTGAATGCTCATCTGCATGTAGAATCCAGTAGTAATTAAGTTATTCCAGGTAAAGTCTAGAAAATCTTTCATGTGGTCAACTCTAGTACTTGGAATAGGAGCAGCAGACCAAGTCATGAATCTTTAAACCCTTGCTAATATTTTTGTACCCTTGCACGTAATTTAGCTGCTTTAGAACTGATTAAAACTAGCAATAAAAGGCCTGGCATTTTTCCCATAATCTTTCAATCGCTGGTAATAGATAAAGCAACCCGGGTACGAAATCGGTAGTTGCAAGAATTTCAGTTTGAGTGCAACAAAACTTGTGCTGCTCCATGGCTCAGTGCAGGGCACTCGGCTCTGACAGAGGTTGTCGGGTGGGTGCTTTGGGAAAGTTTGTGGCCAGGGGAGAGTTAACGGGCTGTGGAGGAAACGTGTCACTGCAGGGCAAGAAGCTGGCTCCGCTGTAGAGCGTGCACTAGTGGGAGGGTGGGAGAGGGAAGCAGCGAGCAGCCCTGCTCCTGGTGCTCCATCCCTGCTCTGCTCCAGAGAGCACCATGAGAAATGAGATAGACCTGCTGGCCGCTGTCACGGTGCTGGGAGTCCTGGAGCAAGGTAAATGCCCTCAGGATCAGTAAGGTATCAGTTAATTGTGCTTACCCATGTGGAACTTGGTTGTGTTTCGCTCGCAGGCTGTGTGGGATGGAAGGTGCTGATGTCCAGCAGGGGAAAATGATGCAAATTGCTCGGCTGTTCAAGGTGGAAGTGTTAAGTGTGAGCAAGTTTATTTATTAGGGACCAAAATGATGTGCAAACCTCACAGCCGGCATTCTAGAAGGAGACAAAACTTAAGTTTACTTTAAATGTAGAACAATTGGAGCAACTGAATGTTTGAATTATTCTGTGATGGAATTTTAGCAGGTAACTTGTAGTTTGGATGGGTTGGAGGTAGGAGCCCAAACTAAAGGTGGGCTGGCTCACTGTTGAAGAGGTCAACGTGTGAGCCCGTATCAGAGGTGTGTGGAAAGAGCATCCTGTGCACATGGGCTGCTTCTCTGTGAGCAATACTGTTAGGTGTCCAGCTCATACCCTGAGCAGATCACAAGACGAGCTGATGCCACACAGTAATTCGGAAACTAACGCGAGCCCTTTTGGTTAGAAATAGATGCGAACATCCTCAAAGAAACTCTGAGTGAATCTTCTTAGTTGAAGTGGACGTGTCCATTTCAGCCTGCTCAGAAAGTAACAGCCCGAGCTGCTCCTATCTCAGCGGTGCTGCTGGGCTCTGTCCCTGTCGTGGCTTTAGCTGGGGGCAAAAGCAGCCCTGGGGCTGCAGGAGGGGGGTGCCCACCCTGCCCTGGGGACAGTGCCCCCCTTTTGTTCCTTTCTGTGTGGAAAGGTGGTTGTTTTTCTGCTGTTGTTTTTTGCTACTGAATGCATTCACCTTAGAGCTGTTGCACCTCTTTGCTCACAGCGGGTTGGATGTGGTTCTCCGAGCAGCCTGATTTAGCTGTCAGGTGCTACATCTCTTAGGACAAGCACTATCTAAAACATGAACGTGCTGCTTGAAGAAAGGAGTTCACAATTTCTGAACTATCAGTAATTTTCCTCAAACAATTTACTCGGTAGCTGACCCCTAAATAGCAGCTTCCTCTCAAATACATTTGTTTTATGAGAACTTTAAGAAAGGTTGCAGCCCTTGGCACTTCACACTTCCACACCATGCAAACCACGGATCGGTGTGAAGTCAGCAGACAAATAACAAGCAGGGCACCATCCACCTGTATTAGGTTGGACAAAGTAGCATGGTCTCTGCTTGGGAAGCCAGGGAGCAATTCCAAACTAATAGGGTTCCTTTCGTTCCTCTCCGCAGTAAGAAATGTGTGTGCTAACCACCTCGATGCAGAGCTGTGCAGTAGCTTCCCCTGCTTCTTCTGCAAGGCTATTCTGTATGTGGATTACAGATCTGAGATCGATTTTGAGAAGGCAGAGAAGTGGAACAGTGACACGCATGATACATACAAATGCTCTTCTGTCACAGGTTACGTAGGAGACTTAATTTAATAGCTGGGCTTAGTAAAGGACTGGTCGATTTGTTGTTTTTCCTCCCTCATTTTTTTTTCTGAGAGCGAACTGTTTCCACATTCTTCTAATTAATTTTCCCCTTTTTAATTTAGTTAGGATCAATTTAGCAAAGCTCTGAGCGCAGCGCTCCATCAGCGTGTGCTCTGGCCCTGGGCTGAGCGCTGTGCCTGGGATCAGAACGCTGCTGCCAGGCTTAGTTCTTTTTTTCCCTTTTTAGTACGGCTTCAAAGGAAATAAAGCTTATGCAATGTCACCGTCTGTCAGTCCCCGTAGAGCTTGTTTGCCAGGATCATTCAAATGTGATAGAGATATCAGCCATAATAAGGTTAGACAAGTTTGTGGACATAATCAAATAGAGAACGGAGCTCCTGCTGATGTTCCTCACTGGGAATAATGTGAAGGGAGAGCTCAGCCCCTAGGAGCCACTTGGGAATCCACACAGGGGTTTAATTTGAAGACACGAGCCATGGAAAGCCTGTCTGAAGGCTTCTGCAGAGCAGATTGATCGCTCTTCCCTATTAGTCCTTTCTGAAAGGTTTTGTGTGATGTGGTTTTTCAGCACCTCATTCTGAGGATTGCTGCTTTTGGAGGGTGAATCTTCATCCTGGCACTCCACCATACACCAGGTTTGGAAGACAGCCAGCCATGCTCCAAAATGCTCTCACTCCTCTTGGGTATTCTATGTGTTATCCATCTCCAAGCATAAGGGATCTTGCAGGAATTGCTTGTCTACAGGGGCAAATACTCAAACAAGACATTAAGCATAGAATTGATGGAGAGTTTGGGCTTAAAATAATTCCTAAAGTGCTTGTGGGTCTGAAGAATGCTCCGTTAAGCCTTGGCAGAGCTGCATGGGGTGCAGTACCTTTACCTTGCTGCATTTCCTGGGAGGAGTCTGGGATAAGACCCGAAAGCATAAAATATCTGTGTAGGAGAGGTGTGCTTGTCTGATGGGAAGAGGTAACGAGATGGATCACACTTCCATAATCGTTTATCAGCACTCTGCCAGCCACCGCTGCCTAGCAGGCTGTGCACTACTGCAGCCCTCTCTGGTCTGCAGAGCGGATATGGTGTTGAGCAGAGGCAGAGCGATATCCTCACCCACAGCCTTTATCAAGATGCTGCAAACAAATCGGGGGGGGGGGGAAGTGTCTTTGTTTCTCCTGCCTTCCTCTCCAGCACCAGCTGTGCCATCGCATGCTGTGTGGAAGACACTGGAACGTGCATATCCTGAAATGGATAATAGGGTGTTTAATACTCAGGTCTCATAGCATCAGGTTATTTACATTTCTCATTCCCTTTTCCTCTACATATGTTCCAGTGCTTTTCTGCAGGCGTGCATGGATCTCTCATCCTTAATCTTGCAACATCTGTCTCTACTTTCCTCTCTCTGTCCTGCTGCTCTGCTTTTATCCTCTTTCTTAGAATAAGACAGTCCACAGCACAGTCCTTGCAGACTCCTTGTTTGTCTTTGCAGTGCCCTGTTAGCGTATGCTACATCAGGACCTTGCTAATCCAAGTGACTTGCTTAGCAGCATGCTGCCTCAGCCACCAAAGTAATTGTTTTTATAATTTAATTTTCTCCTATATGAAAATCCTCAATTTCCATAAAAGCAAAATGTAGTAGTTCACCTAAAAAAAAAAAAAATAATACTTGAAACATAATAAGCCCCTGTGAGAGTAACATCCATCAAATAGTGGAACAGTCCAAATCTTCATGTTAACAACTTTTCATCATTGTGAAGTGACTTTTGACATCCCCAACAAATGCACAAAGGAGCGACGTAGCAGACACCACGATGATACCTTGGCCTGTGTTTGGTGCAGGCTCATGGTGCTAGTTGGCAGTGCTTAAACTCCTCAAACTGCCTCCTGCTTTGGGGCTACCCTGCAGGAATGAAGAGGAAGAAATAATTGCCTTATAATGCCATAATTACGAGCATCTCTAGTTGGCTAATGATAGCCCAGTGCTTCCTGGCTTGGGTGCTGCTCTGTGCTGGGGTGCCATCCTTGTACAAAAGCTTTGTGCCTCTCAGAAAGTGTTATATGTTCCTGTGAGACTGGCTGAGGGTGTACTAATGTCCTAAATCCAGAGTGTAAGATAAAATAATGAGAAGAATAGCTCTGTGATGGGCTGGAGGGGGGGGAGTCCATGAGCTTTTGATGTGCCGGCCTTCCTGCAGGGCCCGGCTGGGTGTGATGCTATGCAAAGTGCCCTCCAGCACATCAGCTCTGTGCCACATGCGCTCTGTGTGGCTAACCAAATCTGGATTTACATCCAGTTCGAGCAGGAGGTAATGGCACTCTTATTTCCAGTCAGGTGTGACAGCCCCGGACTGTGAACCCGGTGGTACTGGCCATTTTCCTCTAACCGCTTGCTTGATTTCAAACCAGATAAAGCTTGGCTAAACAAAACACTGCCAGACTGTTACCTTTTGTGTGTTATTCTTTTTTTTTTGTTTTTTTAGCCTATTTTACGCTGCAAGTGATCTATGCTCGGCGGAAGTTCAAGATCTCTCCTCCAGAGACAGCAGGTCACCCTGAATTCGAGCGGATCTTCAGGGCTCAGTAAGATTTTGACCTGTTCATGGTGACTGCATCTAGATATGACTTGAGTCAAATGTGACTACCAGGAAAGACCAAAGTCACTTTTTCACTTATTTGTGCTGATACTAGACTTTCTTTCACGCTTTGCATGCAGATGTAGAATTATGACAGCCAAAGCAGCAAGCAAGTGCCTTGCTTGGGCTGGTTTTTGTTTTCAGCACTTCGGCTGGAGTGTTTCTGTCCATGACAATCCTCATTCTGCTCTCATGAGAGGCAGCCAAATTAAAAATTAATGGCTGTATGGAAGAGGTGTTGAGCATCAATGCATTACAATCATTAAGTTTAATATTAATGTTGGCTCCAAAATGAGAATAGCTGAAGCTATATTAATAACCTGATGTTTACTTGCATGTTTTTGCTGTTGAATTGAAGCAAAGGATCCTGCTGGCAGAACCAGCTATGAGGACTTTTTTTTTATTTTCTTACTATTTTTTTTTTAAGTCCTTGTACTGTGAAAGTCAGCACTTGTGGGCCCATGCTGAGGGCTGTTTCTTTTTCCTCTGTTTCTATGGAGTGAGAAATGCTGGGGCTAAACTGGAAACGTTTACAGATCCCTTCAGCTTCCAGCAAGCACCAGCTCCCATCTTTCATCTCAGTCGTGCTGTTTCGTAAGCAGCTGAAAGGAATTGGCTGGAGTGGCTTTCAACGATAGTTTGAGCACGGCGGTAAATTCTGAACAAAGCTGATGCATTTCCCTGCCAGCAGGCAGGAAACATTTGTGGAGTGGCAAAAACACTCGCTTGGGCCTTTTGTGATGCACTGAAAGGCCAACCTGTGTGGGAGGCATCAGTCTCTTCTAGCTGGGTAGCCGCCGGTGTGGCTTTTAAAGGAATGCTGAGAAGCTCCATTACAGTCTGTGGTGGAGGTGACCTCAGAACTGGGGCTGGAGAAGGTATTTCTTCCTAGTGTATTTCTTCATTTTTTTTCCTCCATTCTTTTCCCTGTGGAAAAGGATGCAAACGGATAATTTGTTTTTATATCTTCCAAAAAAAAAGTGTGTGTGTGGGAGGTATTGATTTATTACTTATGGAAACCTGGCAGCCTCCTCTTGCTCAGGCTCTAACTACATTTGCAGTGTAGGTTTCTTCAGACTTTCCAGCTCCCAGTCTGGCTCCATTCCCTGAGACTCAGTGACTTCTTGGCCAAATTTAAGATTAGATTGCTTAGGGCATTGTAAAAAGTAGAAAAAAAAAATAAGCAGCAGAAAGGCATCGTCTCTCACAGCGGCAGCTCCCAGCACCCGGCAGTCCCTTCTTGCCTGGCTTCTCCTCCAGGAGAGGCAGCGAGTGTCTGCATGGCCCCAGCTGTGCCCTTCTCCTGGAACAGCACCATGGTGCCAGGGGTCTCTCCTTCAGCCTGATCTGGTGTGTATGTGAAGCTCACCTCCGTCTCTGATGTGTGCAGGTGCCGGGTTAACTCCCCTCCACTTCTCACAGGGTGAATTGCTCCGAGTACTTCCCGATCTTCATCTCGCTCCTCTGGGTTGCTGGGATCTTCTTCCATCAAGGTAAGGGGAAATGAAACAACCAACCAAACAAAAAAAGAATGTGCAGATGGACAAATCCCAATATAAATCCCAGTGTGACTCAGAGGTGCCCTCTCTGTACCAAGAGGCAGTTGCTCAGGGAAAGCGAAGCTCCCCCTTGGCCCTGAAGGGATTCAGTGGGATGGACTGTGGAGTGCTCTGCCTCCAGCGTGCTATTTGGTGGAGATGTTCCTATGGTGGCAGCAGCAGCCCCTGCTCCTTCGCTAGGGCCCAGCCAAGTCCTGCGGTGTTTTCCTTGGAAAAGTCAGGCCAGGGCCAGGAGTGGTGTGCTGCTCGGTTTCAGCGGCTGCAGCTTCCTAATGAGTTGCCCTGTCAGTAAATAACCAAAACCCAGCCTCTCAGTGACGTGGGGTGGGTGCAGGGGGTTCACCTGCAGCAAAAGCATGAGGAAGGATTGAGGTGAGCACTGGAAACCTGAGTCCAGAGGCAAGGAGAAAGCACTTGGGCTGTGTGTGGATGGGGCAGCGTGTCCCTCACAGAAAGTGAAGGAAGAAACCCCATTTGAACTCCTGGTGCCCAAGTCCCATCCTACTGTGTTCCATGAACATTTTGGGGCAGTTCCATCCCTGGTGTCCCTGCAGGGACGGCGGCAGCCTGTGGGGTGCTGTACCTCTACACCCGCTTCCGCTACTTCCATGGCTACGCGCTGGCCGCGCAGGGACGGTGAGTACCCAGCTGGGGCTACAAGCACCCAAACCCAACCCCGTGCATTCCCCATACCACCACTACCCCTGTGTGGGCTGCTCATCCCCTCAGGTGCTGCCCCGTGGTGCCCAAACCCATCCTGCTGGGGCTAATGGGGACGTTTCTCCACACAGGTTGGGGCCGCTGTACGCCAGTGCCCGGCTGCTGTGGCTCCTGGTGGGCCTGGCGGTGGCCGGGCTCCTGGCACACTTCTTGCTGCTCCCGTCCTCCCCGTGGGCGCTGGCGTGGCCCCTCCGACTCCTCAACGCCTGGTGAGCGAGGCCTCAGCTCCCCTGGGCACCCCAACCTGCTCTGTACCTTGAAATGCCTTTAATTAATGAATTGGCTTGCACGCTGTCATTGCTCCTCACCACTACTGTGGGCATCCCTGTCAGAGCGTGTCACACCACGGAGATAGAAAGAATAAATAAATGCCTTTTCTCCACAGAAATCGTTTGTGACTGTCAAACTTGCTTGAGGGGGGGACTGGGTGTGAGAACATCAGAGGTTTATGGGCATGGGGCTGCATGGGAAAAGCTACTGTGAATAAAACTAATTTGAAAGTGTGTGCAAACTTGTCTAAAACCTCACCACAACTGAGGGGAAAAAAGCCTTACTTTAATCTAAAGGGCTTGCCCCTGACTTGAATGATCTTGCCTTGCCAGGCCCTGGTCCTGGACAGGACACGGGCCCAGTGCCTCCCCCTGCAAGTGACTCTCACCACTGCACCAAAGGTTTAAATTTTGCTTTTATTACAGTGCACATTATTTTATATATTTATATAGAGAGATGTACTTGAAAAATCAAATGTATCCAATAATAAAAAATACAGCACATTAAAGTAGTATAATGCATTCCAGTGTATAGCTGAAGAGACATTGGGATTTACACTAATCCCTACTATTTTTGAACTGGGCTACTTCTGTTTTTTGTTTTTTTTTCCTCAAAAAATCACACCAATCAATAACTGAAATAGTTATTTAAAAAGCTGTTTTCTGCACTCAATCTCAAGGCATGAAGACACTGGAGACTTCACCATGAGTTAAGGGGCTGTGTTCAATGCTGGCAGGCACAGTGTGGCGTATATATTTTTTTTCCCTGCCATACTCATAGTTCCAACCCCCTTTCAGCTTCGTTCCTCCACCACAGGAGGGTCAGCCCTCACCCTCATGTAATCCTCAGCTGTGGCCAGGACCAGTGCCTGTGCCAAGGCGATGCAGACGTCAGTCCCTGGCTGTTTCCATCCTGGTGATCCTGCACCCTGTGCATCAGCCTGCAAAGCAGGGGCAGGACTAAACTGTTCCAGGCCCCCTTTCTCCCCAGATACAGCCACCAGCAGCCCCCTTTCCTGGGCTGAAGGTGCGTTTAGTCTCCGTGCCTGCTAAAGCTCATCCTGACACCAAACGGCCCCGCGTGTTGGTGGGACTGCGGCACCACGCACATCGGCGATGCACCCACAGGAGGAGCGGTGAGCACCTGGGGCTTGCCCAGGAGAGCAAAGCCAACCCTTCGCAGCAGAGCTTGGTTTTTGCTTTTGCTCTTCTTCCAGAGGAAGGTCTGTCCTGGCCCTGCAGCACCAGTGCATGGTGCTGGCCTCGAAGCCGGGGTGTCGAGGGCCATCCAGCACCCGCGTGTCAGAGTGCGGCTCCTCCCGGCAGCCAGGTGCGCGTCTCGCTGGCATCGCGGTCCCCACGTCTCGGCAGGAGCAGGCGGCGAGGCGCTGCACACCCACGGCCGACTTGGGGAGGAGGGAGAGGGAAGGGAGGGAGAAGGACCCGGGCTCTACACGTGTCCATCCTTCATCATGCCCACTTCACTCTGCTTTTTTGATAAAAATCTGCAAGGAGAGGGAAGGCAAAAATCACATTTGTGCAACTGAAACACGGTATCCACGTGAGGTAGTGCACAATGGATGCTGGAGAATGTGGGGCTGGGGTGGATGCACTGAGAGCTCCCCAGACCGAACGCTCAGGCAGAAGCAGCCCCGTACCTCGCTCAAGATGATCCACACCGGGGAGTCAGTCTGGATGGACAGCCGGATCGCCTCCAGCGGCCCGAAGGACGGGTCCACTTCGCCTTCTGCAACACCCTTGGAGAAGGAGCCTGGTGGGAAAGCACAGGGGTGAGGTGGGGCTGGTGGACCTGAATGCCAAGGGGACCACAAACGGACACTACGGCCCCTCTGTGCCCAGCACAGGGCCCAGATGAGAGGGAGAGGCTGAAACCAAATGTGGTTGTCAATAAAGTGCAGTTGAGATAATTTCGCAGACATTATGCTCAATGCTGGTATCGTTTTCTAAACAAATAGTGGCCTTGAATCACTGGAAGATGAGCACAGGGGATGCACGTTCCCCGCCCCGCCACCTGCTGTACCTATCTGGATGTAGCCATCCGACGTCCTGCGGTATTTGACGGCTGCACCTCTTCCCTCCTGCAAGGTTTCCTTGTCCGACTGCAGGCTCTGTGGGATGGAGAGGAGCGCTCTGCTCAGGGCTGGAGGCAAGAGACACCCCAAAGCCCCAAGCAACAGCAGGAACCCCAGAGCTGTCCTTGCAACACTCTTTTGAGGTCACAGCATCCCATGGCACCTCGGCTCCTCACCTGACACCATGCAACCCACTCCCCAAAGCAAGAGGATGTTTGCTGCTGCTTCAGCTGCACCATCCTGACCTCTGTTCTTTCTTCTGCAGCCATCCCACCCACCTGGGCACCCCTCTGCAGGCAGGGACAGCTCCTCCGGAGGCAACCCCATCCCAGCTCCCGAGGTGACATCACACCAGGGGTGACCCCCATCAGGACGCCAGCACCTCCTGAAGGCACTCTTGGGAAGGTTTTCCTGACAGCGTTCAGCAGTTTCCTTCTCTCAAACCTCTTTTCCTTCCCACTCCACCCCCACCTCCGTTCTCAATAAAACACTTACGTCAAACGGCAGAACCTCCACAGTCGTATTGAAGAGTTTGTCTTCTGGGTGCTCGATGTTCCCACTGCGGAAGAAGAACCTGTGGCAGAGACAAAAGCCATGGAACACCACACTGAGCACAGGGACATGACATCTTTCACCCTGGGTGAGCCATCAAACATCCAAACCGAACAGGCACCCTCCCAGAAAGCCCACGAGTGCCTGCTTGGGAAGGAGAGCTTCTGTGCCAGATTAGCAAACTGTGGATTGCTTCAAAGTGCAAGAAAGCAAAGAGGTCTGGCAGCTGTGGACCCACCAGGAAGGGTGGAGTTGCCTCCCCTGGCAAAGCACCGTGCCCTCCTCCCAGGGAACCGACCCGTACCAGGGATGGACAAGAAATTTGGAAGAACACACGGGAAGTATCTCCATGCTCCCTGCCCCCCCAGACACTGGCCTTTCAATGCGGAGTGGTTTGAAGAATCTGAATCGGATGAAGTCTCCGGCAGTGGGTGTGAAGGCCCAGAAGAAGTCCTCCTGCAGGTAAGCCTTCTCCAAGGTGAAGTGCTGGTAGGTTTTCAGGCTGGTGCTCACCTCTGCAGGAGGGTTGACGTGCTCTTTCCGCAGGGCTTGCTTGCCAAAGTCTTTGTCCTTGATGGACACAAAGCAAAAGGGCAGAAATGGGTCATATGCTGCTCTCAGCCACGAGGAACTACACACACACGCTCGTGCTCTGCCTGCAGCACGATCCTCTGCCCAACGCTGCCTGTCCCCCAGTGCAGTCCCTGCTTCTTGGCCAGGAGCTCACACACAACTCTAAAATTTCACAGAAGCCTACATCCCAACTGCTCTCTGCCAAGTGAGGGACAGCAAAAGAGAGGGCAGCTTTATTAAGGGCCTTAAAATATTATTAGTTTGCAGCAGCTGAGGTGATGTCTCTATTGATGGTACCAGAGAAGCAGGCGAGGAGCTGGTGCCTCCTCGCCCTGAAGGGCAGGAGCACACCAAGGTTTAAAAGCTCGCTGTGCCTTGAGAAGTAGGAGCTAGATGAGCTCCCTGTGATTCAGGATAAAATACAATTACTGCACAGAAAGCCACAAACCACGGTGCTGTCCCTGATGTCCTCAGGCAGCCCCGGTGCCCACAGGCCAGGCCCAGCAGAAAGGCCGCAGGTGGGTTGGAAAGGTGATTTCGCAGCATCTGGTACCCACCTTCAGCTTCTGGATCTTCCCAGCCAGGGAGGAGTGGGTTCCCACATGCTGGAAGAGCGAGGGCTTGAAGCGGATCCTCAGGTTTGCCTTCTGCCTGTCGCAGTGTTTCTGAAACGGGAAAAATCCCCCAGTGCCCCCTGTGTCAACCTCCCCATGCTCCAGCCTCCAGCACCGCCAGAGAAAGGGAGGGGAACACGACCAAGCCTCAGGGAAAAGAGGTGTGATGATGAACCCCACCCTCCCTCTGCATAGCTCCCTGTGTTATTTTGGCTTTAATTTGGCCCCAGGGCTTTTAATTGCGCTCTGGAGGAGCCTGTCCTTGGCTCTCAGCTGGTCATCGCTGGGGTTCACAGGCCCAAGTGCCAAATATCTCCTCGCCAAGCACATCTTGGCAAGCGACGAGCAAATCTCTGGGCTCTGTGAGGTAGGGACAGCCAGAGAATTTAGTTTCTTTTGTCCTTGGCTTATCTGGAAAGCCTTTCCCTATGACTCAGAGCTCGGGATCTCTGAAGTGACAGTAAGTACCGGGATACTTAGAGCCTAAGCTGGGGTATTTAGAGCCTAACAGGCAGCAGCTGCAGTCTCTCCTCAGCTGGGCAGCTTTCAGTTTGTTGGCAGGTTTTGCTGGGCGCTGAGACCCCTTGGCTGTTTCACACCCATCCCACCAGGCAAATGAACCCGGACAGGCAGCTCTGCTGCGGCCAGCAGCTCTCTGTGGGGCACAGGGAGAGCGGTGATGAAGAGGGAATAAAGGACAAAAGGGAAAAGCCCTGAGAGCGTGGAGCAGAGCCACGGGGAGGGGAATGGCAGCAGGGGGCACAGGGTTTCTATGGAGGTGATTTTTTCCCCCATTCCCCATCTCACTTGCCTGGCACTGCTGGGCATGGTGGGGAGGGGGTGACGCCAAGCAACACCCCAGAGCCGGGAAAACTCGAGCACACCCCTGCTAGCTGCCAGCAGATAATCCCCTAATCAGCTCACGTTACTTTAGAAAATTAAACCCAGCACTGCTCACAGGAGAGACCCTGCTCATTGCCAGTGACAACAAACGTCACCCCACAGAGCAGCCGTCAGGTCTCATCCCTGGGTGGGCAGGGAAGGGGGAAAGGGAGAGGAGGGGGCTACGACATCCCCGATCTCTCCTCCTCCCTTTTACTCCTTCTGTTAAAGAAGCATTTGCTGACAGCTACTTTGTCCCCAGTGGAGCTGGGAGGGGGAATGGCCCAGCTGGTGGTAACAAGGTCATCCTTTCACACGGCTCTACCCCAGGTAAATCGAAAATTAGGGAACAAAAGAAAGAGCAGGCTACATCCAGAGCAGACAAAGCACTTAGGGAAAGCTCAG